TAGAGCCCGGGGCGACCAGGATCTAAATGAGGCTAAGACCAGATTTGATGGAGCCTCATCAGAATGTAAACAGAGGGGAAGTAGAGCATCTGAACTCAATCACTTCAACATGATGAGAAATATGATTTTTTTTAGAGGGGGAGGGATACCTTCAACTTTCCTTTTTTTCTCCACAAATGGTGACAGTGCAATCTAAGTCATGAAAATGACAACATGTATGATCAAGTATAACAGGAATATGGTCTCGGACTACATAAAGGAATAATATTACAAAGTGTATGTAAAGCCTATATAAGCATCATGCAGGCACCGCAGTACTGTAAACACACCACTGAGTACTTCAGAGTACTGCAGAGTACACACATCATCCCTGCAGTGATCAGGTATCACAAAGCAACAATAATAACACGATAATAACACAATACAATCAGGAGGCTGTGGACAAGCACAGAGACACAAAATGTCCCTTCAGGAATGTTATATAAGAGTGAGCTCCCGACATGAAGAGGAGCAGATTATTACAGTATGCATTGTAATATTACCATGCAGCACTAGCCTAAATATATGCTCTGGCAAAGCAAACAAAAAAACATACAAACCATGCATTTAAAGAGAAAGGAGCGAGGACATGGATTCATCATTTCAGTTCAAAATAACAACGTATTCGGCTTACATCAGCATCAGTCAATGTTTCGCACAAAGGCAGCATCTGATTGTAAGACGTCGTTGAAATAAAAGAAACAGATTGCCTAATTCAGAAAAGCATCGATATCTGCAGCACGGAGCCCCTCTCCTCCTTGTCGCATCATCTCCTCCAGGATCCATCCCGAAGCCTCTCCTCTCCTCTCCTCTCTGCCGGTCCTTTCATGCGGGACTAAAAAAAGGCTTTCAAATGAGAAAAATGCATATTTCTGCTTGACGAGATGAGGTCTCTTTCCAGTGTCTTCTCCCAAAATCGTGACGGCTTCAATATTCAGGACGGATTTATAAAAATTAAAATCACAGTGTTTGGATTCAACCTCCCGGACGGTGCGGACAAGCGGGGCGGGGGATAACGTACAGGAAAAGGCTCTGAGCGACTATGGCGCGGTGACGTCACCATGCAGACAGATGCTCTAACCCACCGCACCCCCCACCCACCGCCACCCCTCCCCCTCTTTGCCCTTGAGACCGGGATAGGCCTCCTTTAGAGCTGATTCTGCCGTTTGGGTCTGTCACTTTGCTGTCTCAGCAGCTGATCATTCAGGAGTCAAACACAGCAGCGTCGAATCATCCTGTTTCATTTAAGAATGAGGCTACTATAGGCTACAAAGAGAGTTAAAAAAAAGATCTTTATCATCATCATTGATTGTTGTCAGAAGGTGTTTTTTTTCTTTTACTAGATGATAATAACTATCAATGATGACTTTCAAGTCAAATGACTCAAAAATGACATTCTAATCGGGGCTGAAGTCAGCATGGGTGTCGCCAGGGTTTCTGGGCCCCATAAAAAAAAGATCACATTGGGCCCCTCCACCAAAGCCTCAGCCAAACCTGAGCTATTACTATAACCACACCTCCATTTCACAAATGACCGTTAAAAAGCTTTAAAGGCTTTATATGTGATTTTTTGATCCAGCAGATGTCGCTCCTTGAGCACCAGCATGAAACCAAAACAACTTGCGGTGCATTGTTGTGTTAGCATGCTAATGCTAGCGATCTTTATTATGCTCGTATCTTCACACTGCATGTAAATTTACCTGAAATGATCGTGATCTAGAAACACAGTTAAGCAGTGAGTACAGTATGTTATTCTTCTTTTCTCTAGTCCCTCAATTAAACAACTTTTATACACGAGAGGAGGAGTCAGCCGGCCGTCCGGGCGATGTAAACAAAGTGAAGATAGGACTCTGAAAACTCTGAAAACATCACAGACAGTGGGACTCGGGTGTTACACCCATTGTAGACAGTCATGACTCACAGAGTTATTTTCAGAGGATATACTTGATTTATATTACATTTAAGTGTGAAAAATCACATAGAAAGACTTTAAATTAAAGTTGTCTAAATTGTCCTTTTTCAATACTTTGTAACACCATCCTCCCATTAGATAACGCTTATTAGTTCTGGGTCACAGTGGGCTGGAGCCAAACCCAGCTGTCATTGGGCGAGAGGGCGGGGTACAGTCAATCACAGCACTGACATACAGAGACAGAATCAAAGAAATTCATCAAAATTGGGTGCATAGGACTTCCATACCACTTGTATGTATATGTATACAATGTAAAGAGTGCTGGACTTTGTATTTGATTTGCAAACAGCATCCAGCAGCTGGAGCAGATGTTATTCTGTGAATGAACAATAGAGGACAGAACATGACAAACCTCTTCCTTCATAGTCTTAAAACATGTCTTCAGAAGAAGTGTTATATTCCATCTCTATAAATATCATAAGATTGAGAAAAATGAATTTGAATAAACTCATTATAATAACATCGTCTGGATATTTTTTTCATTATGGAGAAAAGTTGTTGTTGTTCATGTGTTGATAAAATAAACAGACGTAAGGGTCATCAGCAGGTATTCTGTTTTCTCATGTATTTCAGGTCATGTTCAGATTCAGGTGTGCTCAGCTTTGACCCGACACACTTCCTGCCCTCAACTAATCTGCCCGCTAATTGGATAACTAGAGCAGATGAAGCGAAGGCCGGGAATAGGATTACGTCACAAACACAGATCTGTGTGGGAATGTCCAAGGTCGAAATGAGACATTATGTGAGATCAGGACAGCATGAAGGTGAAGACACAGTCCAAGAATGTTTACACTTTGCTCCAATAAACAGAAAAGTTTCAGTTCAAATGAAAACGTATTGAACAATCAGTGGTGAAATAAATTAAAATACATAGATTTTTAGTTATTTGAATAAATGAAGTTGTTTTTATGTTTCTAATGAGAATCCTTCAAAATGTGTCTCTCTTAACTCTGCCATGGATCATTGGCCAGAATGAGGACTAAAATATTCTTCACTTCATCTCTACCAGGGGGGTTCAGCTGCTTCATTAGATCTGATTATACAGTATGAACTTGACATTCATTATTTCTGTTTCATCTTTATTATGTGTTGTCCTCTGTGGCTGTTGTTGTGTTTATTGTTCATGTTTTTATGATCTTTGTGCAAGACAAATTTCCCTCAGGGAACAATTTAGGTGTTTCTTTCAAACAAATCAGTGATGACAGGACTGCTATTAAAATGTTGTAAACAATCTGTGAGAAGAGAAAAACACAAGCTCTGGCCTTGGCCCTCATGTATTAGTTGAAAGACACTTACAGATCCTGTATACATTTTATTATTGACATTGTGATTGTTTCCAAGACCTCTTGCTACACCTGTATTTTCCCTAGAACCAAAACTATATGCTCTGACCTGGCTAGTTTATCAGGATTACTGCTGCTAATCTGCATCCCTCTATATCGATAATAAATAATGTCTTTTTAGAGATCCATTTGAGGAGATCCTAATACGATAAGGTTGTTAAAACGTTTGTTTCTTTGATACTTTTTGATACCATGTTGTTAAAACAATCTAATCTCCATCCAACAATCCTAAAAAACAACCATCCATTCATCCATTCATTCACCATCCATCCATCCATAATCCATCCATCCATTCATCCATCCATCCATCCATTAATCAATCAATCAATCAATCAATCAATCAATCAATCAATCAATCATCAATCCATTAATCCATCCATCCGTCCATCATCCATCCATCCATCATCCAACCAACTATCCAACCATCCACCTATATCAACCATCCAAACATCATCCATCTCGTCAATCATCCACTAATCCATCATCCATCCATCATCCATCCATTATCCATCCATTAATCCATCATCCATCCATCCATCATCCATCCATCCATCTGTCCATCATCCATCCATTATCCATCATCCATCCATCTGTCCATCATCCATCCATTATCCATCATCCATCCATCCATCCATCACTTGTCTCTATATTATTGGAGAGCAGTATGCATTAGTCTTAAGTCAGCACAGCTTCTAAAAATCCATATATCAGGAGACCAAATACAACACACTCCTATAGGAATATTGTAGCAGGTTTAGCGTTTCTACAAATAAGTGGTTTTGGTTAAATAAGATAAGATGTAAGTGCAGGTTTAGTTTCTCCCTGAGGACAGCTCAGCTGGGCAATCAGAGAGCTCAGACATTTGGCAACTGAGCTTTGTCTACTTGGTGACGGATAAGTCATGACTTTACAAAAGGTGACATTGTGATGCTCTTCTGTACTACTTTTTTTAAGAATTAAGTATTGTTTTTTGAATGTATTTCTATGAGAGATCATGTAGCCTAAATGTAATTATAAATATGAAAGTAATTTACTCTCTAGAAGCGTAACAATGTGTTTTTCAATTTAACATTACAGAGATATCAGGATGCTGCTCATCCATCAACGGCCCGCCTCTGTTAGGTTTAACTTCTTACGTATCTCTGTGTGTGTGTGCGTGTGTGTGTGCGTGTGTGTGTGTGTGTGTGTGTGTGTGTGTGTGTGTGTGTGTGTGTGCCGATGACAGTGCATGCAGCAGAGGATTACTGCGCTCCTCCAGTCTGGTGCGCGTCCTTCCGGGAAACGTTTTCATTTAGAGATGGAGAGACTGAATCATTTTCAGAAAACTAACTCAATTCAATGTGCTTCGGTTTGAATCTGAGACGTGACGAGTCCACTCGATGATGTAAGAGTTTTTATTTGACTGTTACGACTTTTGACGGTGTGACCATGTCTCTGAAGCTCCACACAGTGTCTGTTGTCACTTTATATTTAGAGATTAGCACTTTAAACTCCGTGTGAAGACGCCAGCATGGACGTGAAAAGTGTTTTACTCTTGCAGAAAACTCTGCTTTTTTTCTAATTTGAAGAAGACTGGAACTCCACTGGAGGACTACTGAACTCTATAACGGAAGATTTATTACAGGGACCCCCTGTTTGTGACTCAAATGGCAGAGGAATGTGAACTGTGGGGTGCGTCGGAGATAATTAAAGGTAAGCTTGGCAAACACTCACAAATCAGATCATTCATTTTTTTTGACGATTTATCATCAAGTAGTAGTCTCACTTTGTTAACCTCATTGTCATGGTCCTTCTAAAGATAAAGGCCATTTTATTTTTATCCTGGAGTTAACATGGCTGTAATGTGTGACTTGGGAAAGAATTCGCTTTGACAATTCAGACTTCAATTCAAATTAATTTTAATCATAAATGAACATATAGGCCATTGTGTCAGCACCAAAATACAAAGAAACTAAAAAAGGGAGAATGTGAAATTCTTTTTTATAAACATGGTTTTTCATTATCTTCATTTTGAATTTATGACGGAATTTTAAATTCTTAAGATCCATAGACTGTATATAAATATATAGTCTCAGTGACGTCATCCATTGGTTTCTCAAGAGGACTTTTGAAGCCCATTGGCGGAGGTCGCCATATTGTAAATGCTGTCTCAAAGTAACTTTATGTTAATGTAGAAACAGAAAAAGAGCTGAAGTCTCCTGACAGCTATAAAGCGCAGCTTGTTAGTTAGCTCAGCTACGCCCCTCGTTATGAAAAACAGTCAAAATTAAAGAGGATGAGTTACGAAACAATTTACTCCCACACAGAAAGAAATTAGCTATACAGACCAAATTGGTTTTTCAACCCAGGTGGTCATTTCATCTATTTTTTATATGGGTGGGAATGTGACTCCCGGAGCTTTTGCAGCCAGCCTCAAGTTGACATTGTATGGACGCTCAAGGAACTGCAGTTTTTTGCTTCAACACTGGAGGTTGCTGCCTGCTAAGACCACAGTGTCTAATTTGACCATAAAACAATAATGGCTTTACAACAATTTTTACTTTGAATAATTGTGATGCCAATACAAGAGAGAAGAAGAAAAAGAAAGCAATTTCATCCAACTGTTACATTGGATTTGAAAAAGGTCATTTTTAGCTGACTTCCCCATAACTGTAAAACAGTTTATAGACGTCATGTTAAAGTTTTAATATTATAATTTATTTTGACAGGTTTGTAACAGCAAAGGATGTTTACTCTCTGCCTGGGATGGGAATAACTCAGCCTGAACCAATATTTAAATCTTGCATATAAAATGTTTTGTGAAGAAGTCAAACTCTCTTGGTCTTTTGTTCTCAGCTCTGTGTTCACAGAGACGTGGCGGTGCTTGTTTAAGTTTAAGAGGCTCAATACCGATGGGCTCTTTACTCAGCAGCCTCTACCATCAGTGTGTGAATGTGTATGAATGGATGAGTTAATACTGATGGACTCTTTACTCAGCAGCCTCTACCATCAGTGTGTGAATGTGTATGAATGGATGAGTTAATACTGATGGACTCTTTACTCAGCAGCCTCTACCATCAGTGTGTGAATGTGTATGAATGGATGAGTTAATACTGATGGACTCTTTACTCAGCAGCCTCTACCATCAGTGTGTGAATGTGTATGAATGTATGAGTTAATACTGATGGACTCTACACAGCAGCCTCTACCATCAGTGTGTGAATGTGTATGAATGGATGAGTTAATACTGATGGACTCTACACAGCAGCCTCTACCATCAGTGTGTGAATGTGTAGGTGTGACCTGCGGTGTAAAAGAGCTTTGAGTAGTCAGAACCTAGAAAAACTCTGTACTAGCTGAAGTCCATTTACCATTCATGATAACTGTCTGTGATCCACCTGAAAACTATGAATGATTCAGTCTCATATGTCTGCTTCTCCTCCTCTGTGTATTTGTGTCTTTGTGTGTGTCTCTACAGACAGGCTGTACTTTTCCACGCTGCACATCAAACCAAAGACGACAGCCAACACACATTATTTCAGCACAGATGAGGAATTCATTTATGAGAGGTAAGCATCACCACTGTACTAACTCCTCACAATGCAAGGCTGGTTGACAAATGCATTTACAGATGAGAATTGCCCATCTAGTAACAGAGCGCTGAACCTGAACAGTAAAGAATGTACAATACAAAGAAACATTAGTTATAGAGCAGAGATAGAAAAGTGTTCTTCAATGCTCTAGCCCTCTGCAGTCATTGTTGTAAAAACATGTAGGTCGGAGCGGTGAGGGGGTCGTTATCCAGGACCCCCGACAGGGTGAACAGGAGGGGTTCCTCCATGAAAACAACCTGCTTACTAAACATCTTCCCCCTTGTGACACGCCCACTTCCTAAGACATCAATCATTTGAAACATTGATTTGTAAATTGAGACGAGGTGAAGAGATCTGCATGAATCAGCGGCAGCAGCTGTTTTTTCTGCCTCGTCATGTCGGAGTCTGTTTTTTTCTGTTCAGCATCTTTTAACACTGCTGTATCCGTTTAAGTTTTTTGCATCTTTTATCTGCTATTCAAAACTTTTATCTTCTTCTTTCCCCATAGTAAACAGGCCAATGTCATAATAACCAGACTTATTTCCTCAGATTGATATGATTACATTTAGTCCTCCACAGTCTGTGATAGTGTTCTTTTTAACCATGGCGATCTATCGAGGCATAGCAGACAGCTTCTAGGTGTATTTGGCCAATCAGAATCAAGTATTAAACACAGCTGTGTGATGAGTGTAATGACGGACTGTAGCTTCCACAGCTGTAATGTAACACAGTCAGATGACATAAAGGAGAAGAACTGAGCGCCTGAAGCTCTTCAGAAGGCTGTGCTGAACAATCTGGGTCTGTCCCTCCCTGAAGAGGGCATCAGTGTTGTGAGACCGATCATGTTGTGAGACTTTTTTACTTATGAAGCCTAACAGAAAAATAATTTAGTTACTGATGACCCTGTTTGCTGATCACAGCTGGTTATCAGTCAGCTTGAACAGCTGTTTGTGTCTGCAGAAATGTGAAAGAAAGACTCAGAGGCAGAGAGTTTCCTCCTAACTGTAAATAACTCGAGGAAAGTGATGTAAGTCTAAGAAACAAGTAATCAAGTAACTACGTCTTCTTAATGTCTTTTCTTACTGGTTTTACTATTTTTATCTTCTTTCACTTCTTACTGTCCTTTTATTTATGCTCTTTATTTTTGCTTTTATCTCGTATTTATGCTCTTATCTTAACTCCTCTTATGTTTTAACATATACTTATATACTTTTTATCTTTATTAATATTATTGGGTTTTTTTTTATCATTTATTCACTTGTTTCTATTTCTTTTACTGCTCTTACCTTCTTATTGCTGTTATCTTTTTATTTGCTTTTAGCTCTTTTCGTTTCTTACATCTTTTTTAATCTTTGGTCCTCTTGGTCTCAGCTCGTGTTGTTGGGTTCTTGTGTTGCCTGGGTTCTTGTGTTGCCTGGGTTCTTGTGATGGTTCTTGTGATGGTTCTTGTGATGGTTCTTGTGATGGTTCTTATGATGGTTCTTGTGATGGTTCTTGTGATGGTTCTTGTGATGGTTCTTATGATGGTTCTTGTGATGGTTCTTGTGATGGTTCTTATGATGGTTCTTGTGATGGTTCTTGTGATGGTTCTTGTGATGGTTCTTGTGATGGTTCTTGTGATGGTTCTTATGATGGTTCTTGTGATGGTTCTTGTGATGGTTCTTGTGATGGTTCTTGTGATGGTTCTTGTGTGGTTCTTATGATGGTTCTTGTGTTGTCTGGGTTCTTGTGATGGTTCTTATGATGGTTCTTATGATGGTTCTTGTGATGGTTCTTGTGATGTTCTTGTGATGGTTCTTGTGAGGTTCTTATGTGGTTCTTGTGATGGTTCTTGTGTGTTCTTGTGATGGTTCTTATGATGGTTCTTATGATGGTTCTTATGATGGTTCTTGTGATGTTTCTTGTGATGGTTCTTGTGATGGTTCTTATGATGGTTCTTGTGATGGTTCTTGTGATGTTCTTGTGATGGTTCTTATGATGGTTCTTATGATGGTTCTTGTGTTGTCTGGGTTCTTGTGATGGTTCTTGTGATGGTTCTTGTGTTGCCTGGATTCTTGTGATGGTTCTTGTGATGGTTCTTATGATGGTTCTTGTGTTGTCTGGGTTCTTGTGATGGTTCTTATGATGGTTCTTATGATGGTTCTTGTGATGGTTCTTGTGATGTTCTTGTGATGGTTCTTGTGATGGTTCTTGTGGTGGTTCTTATGATGGTTCTTGTGTTGTCTGGGTTCTTGTGATGGTTCTTATGATGGTTCTTATGATGGTTCTTATGATGGTTCTTGTGATGTTTCTTGTGATGGTTCTTGTGATGGTTCTTATGATGGTTCTTGTGATGGTTCTTGTGATGTTCTTGTGATGGTTCTTATGATGGTTCTTGTGTTGTCTGGGTTCTTGTGATGGTTCTTGTGATGGTTCTTGTGTTGCCTGGATTCTTGTGATGGTTCTTGTGATGGTTCTTATGATGGTTCTTGTGTTGTCTGGGTTCTTGTGATGGTTCTTATGATGGTTCTTATGATGGTTCTTGTGATGGTTCTTATGATGGTTCTTGTGATGGTTCTTGTGATGGTTCTTATGATGGTTCTTGTGTTGTCTGGGTTCTTGTGATGGTTCTTGTGATGGTTCTTATGATGGTTCTTGTGTTGTCTGGGTTCTTGTGATGGTTCTTATGATGGTTCTTGTGATGGTTCTTGTGATGGTTCTTATGATGGTTCTTGTGATGGTTCTTGTGATGGTTCTTGTGATGGTTCTTGTGATGGTTCTTATGATGGTTCTTGTGATGGTTCTTGTGATGGTTCTTATGATGGTTCTTGTGATGGTTCTTATGATGGTTCTTATGATGGTTCTTGTGATGGTTCTTGTGATGGTTCTTGTGATGGTTCTTGTGATGTTCTTGTGATGGTTGATGGTTCTTGTGATGGTCGGGTTATATCTGTCTGTTGTGTATCGTGCACTTTGGGTTCTTTTCTGTTGAATTGTATTGAATTATTTTTAGTATTTTACATTTGTTATGTTCTTGCTGTTGTTTATGTTCTTCTGTGTTTGGTTTAGTTTGTTCTTGTTTTTGCTGTTTGTCAAAGCACTTTGTAAACCTGTTTTTTTAAAAGGTGCTCTAGAAATAAAGTTATTATTATTATTATTATTATTATTATTATTAAGTAAAACATCTCAGTGTACCTCCTCATCTATAACTGTATATTTGTGATACTGTCATCAGAGTGGGAAGCAGGCAGGGGAACAACATGACACACTCATCTGTTTCTCTGTGTGTGTCAGTTTCTATGCAGACTTTGGGCCTCTTAACCTGGGCATGCTGTACAAATACTGCTGCAAACTCAACAAGAAGCTGAAGGTAAGGGAGACCGAGCTCCACAAGGCAGGCCTAAACTTACCTTTGAAGACGGGCAGAGATTTGAGCTTCATGTTCTTACACTGATAAGCTCTTGATTTAAAGTCCACATAGTATGCACACCTGCCCGTTACATCAGTCATGCTGTTGTGTTTTTTAGTATTTGTT